CGGCGGGCCCGTACCCGGGTACCACTCTTACTCGGGGGTTGGGTTTGAGCTCATTAGTACCTACTTGGAGGGGGAACATTCCCTTAAAATTTCAGCTTTCTAGCATCTCAGAACCCCGGGTATTTACGCGGGAAAAATTTCGGCGGGCCCGTACTCGGGTACCACGCTTTCTCGGGGGTTGGGTCTGGGCTTATTAGTACCTAATTGGACGGGGAACATTCTCATAAAATTTCAGCTCTCTAGCTTTTCTGGTTCGCGAGTTAGCAGCTTGCCCGTAAAAAACTTTGGCGGGGTCTTACGTGGGTACCACGCGGGAAGGACCGCCCATTTTGGAGATTAAAAACTTTGGCGGGGTCTTACGGGGGTACCACGCGGGAAAGACCGCCCATTTTGGGGATAGGGCCCAAAAACTTTGACAGGCTCTTACGTGAGTATCACGTGGGAAAGACCGCCCATTTTGGGGATAGAGGTCCGTACGTGCATGTAGATTAAGTCCTCAAAGTTTCAGCCCTGTAGCTTCTGTAGGTCTCGAGATGAAAAACCGGTACAAAGGCCCTGCGCACACACAGACACAGACACACACACACACACACACACACAAACACACAGAGACAACCTCTCTTCAATATACGTTTTTCGCATTGCATGGCTGCAAAAAACGCACAAAAAACAGGCTGGTATTAATGGATCAATGGCCTGGTAATGATGGGCAAGGATGTTTGCATACAAAAGCGATGAAACAACAGCTGATCAAATGGTGTCATGGCGTCATGACTTTTTTGTTTCCAGGCGTATCTGGGAGCTTTCAATTTCGGCCAGATTGATGTGAACATTCCAATTCATGAAATTACGGCACTGAAAAAGGCGAAATTGGACCATGCCAGTGTAATTGTATCGAGCAGTGATGCGGACCAGTACTACCCTCGTCAGACGGTTGATCTCAGTGGTGGTACTTTAACACTGCCAGCCGAGCAGGGTGTTGTGTTTCAGATTGCCAGTACATGAGTTGCTTCTTTAATTTTATGCTTGTTTTCGTGACGAATTATTGTTTTTTGGACTTTATGCCATGTATAATTTATACTTTTTTCACCTACAGATTATTGCTTTGACCATCTTATGCTTCGATACAGGTTACTGTAGCCATGAAAGGGCGAAGCGGGCGGGAGCGGGGTTGCCTGTCAAAATGGATATGTATTTTGCTTTGCTGGCCAATCGATGTCTAGTAACAGAGAATAGTATTCGCATGTTTGGTTCGACGGGTTGGATATGCATGTGTTGCTTTGGTACCTTGTTTTGCTGACCAGCAGGTGTCACATATAAGTGAGTGGTACCTGCGTGTGTGACCACTGGAAAGCCTCCAGATAGAGCTGGGTAGTTAAGGTGTGTTTGGGGGCATATAGT